AGTGATTACCAATCAAAGACCCAAGTCTCTATTTCTCCCCAACAGAAGAAAACCCATTAACTCTAACAGAATCTGTAGACAACACCACTAAATCCTGACTACCTGAACTCTCAACTCGAGCTCGAACCGGTACTTGTTCTCTGAATTTAATGCATTGGCAGCATCAAAATCCTCATCCATCGAAGGAGGCCATGCGGACTGAGACAAACCCAGTGGCCTCGCATATCTTCCATTATTATTCTCGAACCCACCTCCATTAACAACTCTCCCTTCTCTGTTTTGACCCATCATCTATTGTTGAAGCGGGTTTTGCGATAAAAACAAAATTTCTCTGGTTTGTCTTCCCCAAATCAAAGAAGAGCACTGTTGTTTCATCATTTGGTCATGTCTCGTTTGCTAAAACTACAAAACAAAACAAAACATAAACAAAACCCAAAAATCAACAAACTAGATGAGAAGAGGGAACAAGTATATATTGTGAGAGAGGCACTGATTGGCATAGAAAGAGGTGTTGATGTTTTTCAGAGGCAGTGGAGCGAGAGACCAAGGAGGGCCGAGAAGGCCTCTAGCTTTGGGAGGTCCTTCATCGTTCATCTTCAACCTCGCCACTTGTCCCGCGGCCTCGTAAATCAGATCCCAAGAGTCGTTGTTTCCACCCGGCGGCGTAGTCGGCGGTGATCCATCGAACTTGGCGATTTACTTTTGTTCTTTACTTTGCTATTTGCGAAAGAGAAAGAAGATAAGAGGCTTTGTGATCAGCGATTTGCGAAAGTCGAAGAAAGAATGGCGTCTGGTGGTGGTGATCAAAATGAGGTAGACTGAGAGAGAGAAAGAGAGAGAGTGAGAGAGACAAAAGTTAAATTTCTCAGATATATGTTTAGGAACTTTAGACATCAAAAAATAATTTTATAGATTCCTTCCATTACGAAAAGTGGGAGAGGGACCCTAGACTAATTTTCCCTATAATCTATACATTTGGAAAATAATCATTCAATAATTTCAAATGATTCACCACATCAATAAGTTTTTTGCTTTCTTCCAATAAAAAATAACTATATAGTAGTTTTAAATAATTTATTATATCAATCATCTATTAGTTTTTAACCAACTAGGCCTAGCCTAGTTAGCCACCATACCTTCCTTAGGGCTTAGTCCCAAGGAAGCCATGTGTTCAATTCCCCTTAGGGGGATTGAATGAATGGAGAACTTTGTTTTTTGTGTCATCTTTGATCACTTAGATATTTGCTTTGTATCTCCTTGAGAGAGTTGTTCAGTAGTGTCTGTTGGTTGAAACTCATGTTTCATGTTGTGTAGGTGAGAGAGGTTGTATTTGGGTTTGGTGAGTATTGTGTGAGTTTCCTTTGTCACCATTGTAGCTCTTGAGAGTGTTATTCTCTTTTATTAGTGAATTGTTCTCGTTGTGATTGTCTGTGGATGTAGGCTGAGGTTGAACCATGTAAATCTTGGTTTTGTGTGATTTGTTTCTCTCTTAGATTTGCATAATTTATCTTGGTGTGGTTGGATTCTTTTGGGACTCATCGCACGAACTATATTCTTTATCATAATTTCCACTGTGCACATCAGTCTCCTCCTCCATTGTTGTATTTGTTGTTTGTTCCTTATGAAATTAGTAAAATCCATTGTCTGTAGATATAGGTGCATTACCGAATCACGTAATGCTTGTTTGTCTTGTTTGTGGGTGCGTTATTAGTGCTTATATCTGGGCCTTGGGCACAAGAGTTGATACATCTCACCCTCCTCCAAAAATCTTGGCAACTTCCTCCCTTAGAGGTTGATCTACTGATTACGACTTTCCCAGCGTGACGCTTCAGTTCAAAGCTTATCACTGTGAATGCAATTTTTTTTCCCTTATTCCCGTTCCTTCTCTTGAAAAAAGAAGGAAGATTATACCAAATTAATTAAAATTGATTTAAAGTAATTTATTGGCCATTTTGTTATTCACAATTTCGGTCAATCGATATGAATATGTTTGGCATTCTCATCATCTAATCCGAGATACGACTCTGGACTTAATGTCAAAGGGTCATAAAATTAACATTGTTGAGAGAAATATAAAAATAGAACACAAAATTAGATACAAAAAAGTATAAATGAACAGGATTTATAAATTGAATCCATTTCTAAATTATCTTGCCCATCAACGCATTGCGTCCAATTTTATGATTGGTTTATGTGTTTAGACTTCAAGTCAATTTTTATTTATTTATATATTTATTTGATCTGTCTAGAATATATATTCTAAAAATTTCAATAAATTACGAAAGTTTGGAAGAAGTCAACCGAAGATGAAAAAATGTCATAGTTTATCAGACAAAAAGCATAAAAAAGCTGAACTACTTTTTGTTTAGTGATTGTTTTAATACTTTTTGTATATATATATATATATATATTAAAATTAGAAAATGCATTGGATCCCACCACCCCCTCTATTTTCTTATTGGCTGAATTTTTTTATTTTTTTTTTCTGTCGGGCAATCACAGAGCCCCACGTGGAGTGGGGGTGCTGGGGTCACCCCCACTAGGGGTCCCCAGCACGGTTGATTAAAATTTTATTCTCGTCTTATATAACCCAACCTAAATGAAAAAATCACTATTGACAAAAACAAACTAAAAAAAAATCAAATTATATGCTGCAGTAAAAAAATAAAATAAAATAAATCAGGAATAGTGTTAGTTACCTAAATTGATTTGAGTAAGGGAGCTTGGAGTTGATAGAATAACTACATGGTTAAAAAGAGAGACCACAGGTTGGTCCACAAGGTCGTTCTGGGGTGTTAGCAAATAGCAAATGGTGGATGAATGGCTATTTGTAGGGGTATTATGCTGGTTGATCTGTCTTGATGAATGGCAGTTTGTCTGAGTTGGGTGGCTACTTGGCTATTTGGCCCTGATTTAATTGCTGAATATTTTAGAAGACAACAATACCAAAGGAATCCAAGAAATTGGCTTATGGGAATGGGATGACTTGGTGATGGCAGATAATATGAACTTTGAGTGGTTGCTGAGAGGGAGATTTGCGCCGGATAAGTACGGCCGAGCTGCAATAACACGAGTTATGATGGACCTTGTGAGAGCCGTTTGCTCGGTCGAAGCGGTTCCCCATCCCGCCACGTCGGGCCGAGCTACATTTGTCGACTAGAGTGTGGAATCATGCGTAAGGCAGACCGAGCTGTGATCCGGCTAGGCATTCGGTCAGATCCGCAATGGTGCGTCTGGACCGAGCAAAGCATGGCCCAGAATGAATTTAGACAAGGGAGAAGGTTGCACGCCTCACGGCCAGTCAGTCCGGAAGGATCGGCTTCTTACAGCTCGGTTATATTGATTATGGTTGTGTTTATTCCCAAGGGATAGGTCGGTCGTGACAGCCCGGTAGAGTGTGCCACCTGGACCAATGGTGTGACGGAAAGGAAATCCACTCCTGGCACGTGTCAATACCGTTTGGCAGTTCCATACATACTGTTTGGAGGTTTTGGCCTTTACACGCGTAAGGCAGTGAGAGGCGAGCACTGCCACTTATCCAGGGAAGGACAACAGAGGTAGTGCGCGCACAATCCCTGAGGCTACATGGCCAGCGTAGAAAAGGAAAGGAGGGGGAACGTCGAAGGTAAGCAATTCATGCGATTTGAACAATTCTCTCTCTCCCTCGACTTGATCGTCGGAGGGTCTATCCAGCAGCATATCGCCGGGCAGCTCACCATTTCTTTGTCTTCAGGTCAGGTGTCGTTACGTGAAGCTTGAGTTCAAGGAGTACGGAAAGCTAAGGATATTTCGTCCGCCGTACAATTGGCGCCGTCTATGGGAAAAAATTCTTTGATACACAAACCTTACTCTACAAGCTTTTTCAACTGTTTCCATGGCAAACAATGATGAAACTCCACTGTCCGTCGTCGATGGTGTCACGCCAGAATCTGTTCGACAAAGAGAAGGCCCCCCTGCTATTCCAGCCGTGGTGGGCCTGGAAACCTCTTCGAGAGATGCGCGAGACAAACGCGCACGGAGTACTGATTGCTCGAGGAGTCGCATGCACAGCGCCTGGAGCACAAACTCAAAAACTATGATGCCCTCATTCGCAAGATAGTGGCTGAAATGGAGGTGTTGAAATGCCAGATCAAGGGGAAGGGTGTTGCTGGAAAGGGCAGCCTTAGTGAGCGCACCCCGTCTCCTCGTTCTGGTAGTCGCCACCAATAAAGGATGCACTCTCTCTCTATCACCAGAAGCTATGGGGTTAAGGACTCCGACCCACAGGTGGGCAAATCTCATACTCGTGACAGCACCTACCGTTCCTCACGCCCATCATCGACATCATGATACTCTTTTTTCGCCCGTTCGGGAGACCTGAGGGATGTGTTGGAGGAGAGGGCTCGCCGTAGGGAGGCTCAGAGACTGCCGGCATTGCAGAGGCTAAGCTCCCAAATCCGTTGTAGTGAGGAAATAGCAATGCCAAGACCCAGAGTGGTGGCCCCAGCGCTCGTGGACAAAGAGCTAGCGAGACTTACAGCTACGCCGCTGTCTCCAAAAATCGAGAGTACACCACTCCCTATCGGATTCCACCAGCCTAAGTTCACGTTGTACGACGGCAAGACAGATTCGTACATGCACGTGAGTCATTACCGGCAAGTAATGGTAGGACACTGGTGTAATGACGCCCTGATGTGCCTCATATTCCCAGCAAGCTTAGGAGAACTGGGCCTGAAATGGTTCGAAAGGCTTCCAAAAGGGAATATCGAGGGATGACAGCAACTAGTGGAGGCCTTTGTCACCAGATTCAAAACCAACACTCGAACGCCAAAGGAGGTTGACCATCTCCTGGGCGCCAAGATGGAGTCTGGAAGTTCGCTGAAGGCATACAATGCGAAGTACTGGGAAACTTACAATGAGATCCTTAACTGCCCTACAATCTGGTGATTACTCAATACAAGCGTGGTCTCCCAGTCAAACATAGGCTGCGAGACTCGCTTACAATGCACTAGCTCGCAACCATGGAGTCCTTAATGCAACGGATCAACGAACACATCCATGTGGAGGATGATTCCGCTTCCGCAACCGAGAAAGCTAATTCGGTCGCGACAGACAGAAGAATGGCAGGGAAGGTTCACTCGGTGGGGCAGGAGAACAACAGCCCAAACGACTGGTCAAAAGATCAACGTCGTGGCTGGAACCGCGATGATAGAAATAAAGGTCGCAGAAACGACCGAGCTAACGCTCCCCGTGACGAAGAGGAAGATGCCAAGAGAAAATTGAAAGTGCGGACCGGTATCACCACGGTCTTTAAAATCCCTATTTACCACATCTTGAGTGAAATTCGAGGTGAACCTTTTGTTCGTTGGCCGGCCAAGTTGGGGAGTACATAGAGAGGCTTCAACTCAAGATATCGCTGCACCTTCCATAAGGAACGAGGGCACCGAACAGAGGATTGCTTGCCGCTCAAACAACATTTGGAGGAGCTGGTGGCAGCTAGACATCTGGACCAATACATCGATAGGGGCATGAAAGCCGCTCCGTTGGGACAGACCGAACCAAACGGCCTAGCCGCCCTGGACGCGGCGCCACAAGGTGTAATCAATGTCATCTATGGCATCACTGAACCGGAAAGGGTCTACGAGCTGAGAGGGATGATTAAGAAAGCCGAGCACATGAGGGAGGTACTCTCTGTTCAGCTCGCTGTGAAGAAAGGAAAGACCGAAGAAAAAGATATCCTTTCATTTTCAGGTAAAGACTTGGAGAGAATTCAAGTGCCCCACAATGACGCCCTAGTAGTGACTCTTCGCGTGAAAGACTTCGACATCAAAAGAATTTTGATTGACTAGGGGAGTTCAGTCGAAATCATGTATTATGACGCGTTCAAACAAATGAAGTTGGAGGACAAGGACTTAGCCCCTACAACATCTCTTTTGGTTGGCGTCAACTCTCAACCAGAATGGCCGATTGGAAAGATCATATTGCTGGTCAAAGCGGGTTAGGTCATGAAGCAAGTAGAATTCTAGGTGCTTAAGGTCCCATCCACCTACAACTTAATATTGGGCAGGGGCTGGTTGCACGCCATGCAAGCCGTAGCGTCGACCTACCATCAGGTTTTGCGCTTCCCAGCGCCAACCGGGCAGGTAGAAAAGGTTTGGGGAGACCAGGTAATGGCAAAACAGTGCTTCGTCACAGTGAATGGCAGCCAAGCCGCCAGAGGGTTCGTTCAAATGATAGAGGGCCCGGAGGGAAAAGATGTCCTGGAAGACGTAGGAAGAAAGGCCGAGGAGAAATCAGTTGAAGATTTGGTGGAGGTACACATTGACGAGAACAATCCAACTAAGTTATTTCTTTTGGGATCATCCTTGTCCAGCGCCGAGCGACTCGAATATGTCAACTTCTTGGTTTCCAACATAGAAGCTTTTGCATGGATGCCTTACGACATGCCTGGCGATGACCCTAGCTTCATTTGCCTTCAGTTGAATGTCTTCCCGAATGCACTGCCGGTCATCTAGAGGACACAACGCTCAACCCTGCACTATGCCGAGATAGTGGCAGAGGAAGTCAAGAACTTATTGGAAGCAGGGGAAATAAAAGAAGTGCAATAACCTCAGTAGATCTCTAACACGGTCGTGGTGCCGAAGAAAAACAGTAAATGGCCGGTGTGCGTTGATGTCTATCGCGCGTGTCCAAAGGATAGCTTTCCCCTCCCAAGAATCGACCAGCTGGTAGATTTAACCGCTGGCCATCAGAGGTTTAGCTTCCTGGATGCATATCATGGCTACCACTAGATTTTCATGTATGAACCGGACCGAGAGATCACTTCATTCACCACTCCAAGAGGCCTGTATTGTTACAAAGTCATGCCATTCGGACTGAAAAACGCCGGGGTAACTTTTTAGAGGATGGTAACCAAGATGTTCGCTCCCCTTCTGGACCGCACCATGGAGGCTTACATCGATGATATGGTGGTAAAGAGCAAGGAAAAGTCTCAACACCTCGCCGACCTAGCAGAGATGTTCGCTACACTTAAACAGCACAAGCTGCGTTTGAATGCCTCCAAGTGCGTCTTCGGAGTTGGCACCGGAAAGTTTCTGGGTTTTTTGGTCACAAACCAAGGAATTGAAGTCGACCCTTCCCAAATCAAGGCGATACAAGAGCTAGAGCGTCCAAACTCCACAAAGGACGTGCAACATCTTGCCGGGATGGCAGCCGCGCTGAACAGATTTATAAGCCGGTCTTCAGATCGTTGCAGACCCTTCTTCAAAACTTTGAAGGCCAACTTCTTCTAGGATGACGAATGTGACCGTGCGTTGGCGGATCTAAAAGTACAACTTTCCTCAGCCCCTATCCTGGTCACCCCAAAACCAGGCAAAGAACTGTATCTCTACTACTTGGCAGTCTCTCAAAATGCGGTGAGCGCCATCCTAGTCCATGTTGAAGGAACCCAGCACCTTCCCATCTTCTACGTAAGCAAAATCTTGCTGTCGGCTGAATCAAGATATCTGCCGCTGGAAAATTTGGCCCTGGCCCTGATGATGGCTTCCAAAAAACTGGCACACTATTTTCATGCCCACACAATAGTCGTGCTAATTGAGTTTCCACTTAAGGTGCTATTCGAAAAGACGGACTTTACCGAGAGGATTTTGAAATGGACTGTAGAATTGGGGAAATACGACATCAAGTTCCAACCGTGTACCGCAATCAAGCTCAACCTCTGGTCGACTTTGTGGCGAAGTTTGCCCCTAGAATGCATCCAATTTGCCCGGTTGATTTGGCTAGCGCGGATTTGGCGCAACTGATGGTTTAGGCAACATGGACAAGTGGTGGATCACAACTGGGAGAAGGGCAAATGAAAGCCGAAGTGGAGAACCCGGATAACTTATCAAAAGACAAGCCCGACCAAGACATGGAAAGAGACCAGAATGAACCGACCAGTACCTTGGAGTTGAGAAGCTCCCAAAACCCATCAGACTGCTGGAAATTGTTTATTAACGAGATGTGGAAGCTATTCGTCGGTGGGGCCTCCAACAGACATGGCGCCGGGCTAGGAATCGTACTGACTTCCCCGGACGGGCTGGTTATCGAGCAAGCAATTACGCTCGGCTTCTCGGCGTCCAACAATGAGACAGAATATGAGGCCCTCCTCGCGCGGATTGAAAAGTGCATTAAGAATGAAAGCGTCAACTGTTATGGTATTCAGCGACTCTAAGCTGGTGGTCAATCAGGTCTCTGGGGAGTATGAAGCCAGGGATGGAAGAATGGCCAAGTATCAGGCACTGGTACGCGTAGAAATCAAAAAGCTCGCCGCGATAAGAGTGGAACAAATCAACCGCGAAGAAAACAACACAGCTGACGAACTGGCCAGCCTTGCATCCATGCAAACAACTTTCCCCAATCCTTTGATGATAGAATTCCTACCTCGGCCTAGCTTTGAGGAACCAGAAGTGTCTGAAGTACTCTGCACCGACTTGGGACCATCCTAGATGAACCCCATCATCGCCTTCCTAAAAGATAGAATTCTACTGGAAGAAAAGAAGGCGGCCAACAAAATTCGGGCCAAGTCAGAACAGTTTTGGCTCTCTCCATCTGGAGCCTTATACAAGAAGTCTTTCACCGGGCCGTTTCTGAAGTGCGTCCACATCGACAAGGTGGAAGCGTTCCTCTATGAGATTCATGAAGGCATCTACAAGAGTCATATTAGGGGAAGATCTTTGCTTACCGAGCAATTTCCCAAGGTTATTGGTGGCCATGCATGCAGGCGGACACGGAGAAATATGTTCGAAGGTGTGAAAAATGTCAAAAATTTGCTCACTAAATCCACCAGCTGGCCAGAGAGTTGCTCCCCCTTACAAGTCCTTGGCCGTTCGTGCTTTGGGGGTTGGATATTATGGGACCACTCCCAACAGCTCCGAGCAACCGCAAGTTTTTCATCGCTGCTACCGACTACTTCACTAAGTGGGTCGAGGTAGAGCCATTGGCAACCATAAAGGAAAAAGATGTGAAGAAATTCATTTGGCAAAATGTCATCACTCGCTTCGGTATACCGAAGGCCCTCATCTCGGATAATGGCACTCAGTTCGATGGAAAACTCTTTCGCGGATTTTGCGAGGAGTTAAAGATTGAGTTCTATAACTCAACACCGGCCTACCCTCTGTCAAATGGTCGAGCAGAATCCTCAAACAAGACCATCCTGGACGGGCTAAAGAAGCGGCTAGAGAAAGCCAAAGAGAGGTGGGCTGAAGAACTCCCCAATGTGCTTTGGGCATACTGCACCACGCCGAGACGTTCGACTGGGGAAACACCATTCGCCTTGGGCTATGGCATGGAAGTCGTCATCCCACTGGAAATCGGCATGCCAACCATCTGGTCTGAAAGCTTTTGGCCAGACTTGAATAATGAAGCAGTGGCCTTGGAACTTGACCTAGCTGAAGAAAGAAGGGAACGGGCTCTAATCCACATAGCAGCCTATCAGCAAGAGGTCTCCAAGAAATACAACAAGGTCGTGCATCCAAGGGTATTCAAGATCGGAGACTGGGTCTTGAGAAAAGTAATGGGCAACATGGTGATCCCGGGCGAAGGCAAACTCGGTGCAAATTGGGAAGAACCATATAAGGTAACTGGCCTTGCGGGCAAAGGGGCATACCATCTGGAGGACTTGGATGGTAAAGCTATCCCCAGATCGTGGAATGCAGCTAATTTTAAGATTTTTTACGTTTGAAATGTAATCATTTTTGTTCCTTAGCCTTTTGAACCTTTAGCCTTTTGGCATTTGATATAAATCGCTGACATGTAATGAAAGATAGCCCTACTTTTTTCTTATATTATGTCTTTATGACAACACAAGGACATTGGGCCACTATGGATGCCAGGGGCTAGGAGACCAACTTGCACTGGGCCGATCTGATTTTTCCTCACCGGCGTGAAGACAAGCCGTACAAATAGTTGGTGTTCTGCCCAACTTGTAAGGGCCGAGCTGATTTTTGCTCGCCCGAAATGAAATGTTGGCGTTTTGCCCAACTTGTAAGGGCCGAGCTGATTTTTGCTCGCCCGAAATGAAATGTCGGCGTTCTGAACAACTTGTAAGGGCCAAGCTAATTTTTCCTCGCCCAAAATGCAATGTTGGCGTTTTGCCTAACTTGTAAGGGCCGAGCTGATTTTTACTCGCCCAAAATGAAATGTTGGCGTTCTGACCAACTTGAGAGGGCCGAGCTGATTTCACTCGCCCGTGTAAAATATTGGCATTTTGCCCAACTTCCTACGGGCCGAGCTGATTTTGGTTGCCCGACCTGGAACTTGTATTTGACAGATATTTCACAGATATTTCAAGTCGAAGAAAATTTGCTCATTATCACCGAGATATTAACGATTGCACAGAAATAGATACAAGGTGGGCAAAAAGTTGAAGTTTTCATTGATTGAGCAAGTTGGATTACAAAAGTGGGGCCAAGCCCGGTTACATAAAAAATAAAAAAAAAAGAGAGAAAAAAGAATGGAAGATTAGTCCAAATCTACGTGAGTAGACTACTCGGCCAATCCCTCCTCAGCCTCGTCTGCCGCAGCATCCACCACCGCGACAACCTCCTGCTCGGTCTCTTGATCTTTGGCCCCCTCAGAAGCTTCAGGAGGAATTTGCTCGGTAGGTTACGCGGCGGTAGCTTCCGCTTCAGCTGCTTGCTTAGCCTCTTCGATGAGCCTCTTCTGCATCGCACTAGCATAAGCTTACATATGGGTCGGGATGAAGGCGGCAGGAGGCTTTTGAAACACCTCAGCATCTGGGCCAAGGCCAAGTTTTTCCATGGCGGCTTTCCAGCCGCACTGGAAAAAGATGTCCTTGGTCCCCTGAACC